TACCCTAATTTATAAAAAGGCATCATTTAGGTAACAGAGAAAAAAAAAAAAAACCTCCCAAACTTGCATAATGAAAACAACAACAACAAAAAAAAGTCACTGTATGTTGCCTAGTAAAGACAACAAAGAAATCCTGCAGAAATGAATACAGGGCCTCACTGGGAAGAGCAAGATCAAAGAACACTAGGGATAGGAAGGGAAAGGAAGCTGGCCGAATCTCTTTATCTTAAAAATAAAAAAAAGAAAAATATCTCAGAATCATATAGGGGGAATTTATAAAGCAAAAGAGTGGAAATATGGAACTGAATTACAGATAGTAACAATGCATCTATTTTCAATTTCAGGTCCCTAGTTGTCTCATTCATTTTTACTTTAGGAAAAAAAAAAAAAAAACCTTAAAGAATGTAACTAACATCTCTGGGTTCACTATCACCTTCATTTTCACACATTCCCAGTTTGGAGCGTGTTAATTACAGTCAATAAACAGGTATCAGCCAATAATGGGAAGCACTGAATCAATGGGCAGATTCAGATTTAAGAAAGCTTGGTCTCCGTTGTTAAGCAATAGCCAGTTTATGTTGGCTTGTAAAAGTTAGCTGTCGGGCAATTCTCTTCTCAGGAGCAATAAATTCAGACTGTAAATACAATAAAGTTCTATGCTGGGATAAAGACATCTATGAAATCTCATTTAATCCTCACAGCCACCATGCTAGAAAAATCCTTATAACTACCTTTTTTACTCACCATACAGAGTACAAGGAGCTCTGGTGACATAATGAGTAAGGCATTTGGATGCTAACCAGAAGGTCAGGGGTTCAAACCGACCAGCTACTCTTGGGGCAGAAGATGAGGCAATCTACTTCTATAAAGATTTACATCCTTGGAAAGTCAATCAGGGTCACTATAACTTGGAATAGACTCAGTGGCAGTGAGTTTGGTTTTTTGATTCATACAGATTACAAAACGGAAATCCCAAGCAGTTTAACCATGTGTCTAAAGTCATTTATCTCACAGGTCGTAGAACAGGAAAAAGAATCTAGATCTTCAGACTCGAGGCTTCAAGGCTGTTGTATGTCATCAAGTTGATTTTCAAGGATACAGCTTACAATCTTTCCAACAGATCTTATATGCTTCCCAGGGATATAAAAGGAAGGGCACATACAGTGGGGTTTCAGGACCATGTAAACAATCTCCAATGCTCAGACCAGCTACTTGGGCAGGGATTTTTTTTTTTTTTTTTTTATGTTATTTATGATGATGGAAAGATTTCAATCACCCATCATTTAGGAATAAATGTGAGTCATAATTTGCTCTCTTCAAATCGACAGTAAGACATAAATAAAAATTTAGTCATTTAAATTGATTTTGCTCAGGCCTTCAGATTTCCAGATGATTGTTTTCCTTGTTTTATGTTAAATGGATCAATTTAACACTTGGGTTTTAAAGTCTTGGCATAATCCATCAATTAAAAGCTACGTGAATTAAAATTATTCAAGCCCACTGATTTTAAGGACATGATTTTTTTAATGCTCTTTTCATAAATATGTTCATTTTTCTCTATAAAGTAAGCTTGCATCCTCACTCACATGACTAACTCCATACAGACAAAAAAGACAAATTTTGTTTGGAATAAGGAAAACTAACAATATTCTATTTGTTTCTACTCTGAGATAATATGTGCCTAAAATGGCCTTGTCTGTGCTGTTTAAAAGATGAATCTTTCCACTTTTCTGTATTTCTGAAGTAGAGAGCAGTCATGAAAACTCTTGCAAACCATCTCAAAACTAAAATGTAAGTACAATATCAAGAAGCATGGTGCCAGGCTCATTCACCTGATTGCACACTTACCCAAGTCTTAATTGGTGCTACAAAATATGCTGTCCCAATTGTTACTTAACATGCCAGTATATCAGAGTACTATGTTTTAAAAATAGTTATAGATTGAAATAGATGGTCTTTCTAAGCCAGAATCACAGTTCCTTCAGAATCGGTAAAACAGCCCAGTATTGATAAAATATAATCCTAATTCTGAAAAATGTAAAACGTATTCATATCTCTAGACTCGTGATTAAATTTCATTGTTTCAATTGCTCCTCAAGACAACTGACCTTGTAATTATTTTACAAACACTGAAGTTCATCACACATGGTAAATAAATGAAAGGCTCATTTATTATTAACCCCTAAGTGGTTGTGGATGGACTTTTTACACTTATTTACCTTGACTGAAAGGCCAGAATGCTTGGTGTTCCCAAGACTGCTGGAGACTGTGTGGTAATGAGAGAGTACTGAACCAGCTGCCTTTGAGTATGAGTCCAGAATTGATGCTATCTTTATAAATGTCTACTCAAACATCTTGACTATTAGTAAGTGTTCCTCCCTGGTGAGAAAAACGTTAGACTCGGAAGAACTAAAACCCAAAAAAATACGCTAGAGGCAGATCCCACTCACAAAGACCCCTCCTTGAATTTTCAAGGCGCTATCACTGCGGAAGTAGAGTGCCCAATCTTCCTTCTGAGGAGTGGCTGGTGGGGTTGAACTGCTAGCCTTCTGGTTAGCAGTCAAATGCCTTAGGCACTGTGCCACCAGAGCTCCCTCAGAAGAAAAAGTGATCCTGTTTCTAAATGTCTGATTTCCTTATGCTACTCTATATTACTGCAGTGTTATACAGAAAATTTCTATGTAACTTTTGGATTAAATTGACAATATGAAAGATGATTGAATCCCCCTCTCCTATTTCTCCTGGATTATTTTCTTGATTTTGTGACATTTCCCGTGTCCTCTTTTTCAGCACAGGAATGTAGAACTGCTAGGAGTATCCCTAAAGGAAACCTTGAGGGTCATTAGATCCCAGGCAATGAATGACTTCATTCAACAGGGCCACTGCCCTCCTTCATCTGCACGCCCTTTAACATCACCAAGTTCCCTCAAAGGGCCTGCACTTTAACTTGGTCTGAGCAGGTCACATTTCTAAAATACTTAGCTGTCTCAAATGTTCCTGGCCGGCAGCACTGAGTCACTACCGCCACAGAGTTTCAGGCTAGATTGACCTCTTTCTAGTTTTCAATGGAATCATTCCATGTAATCCGATTTACACAGCCATTTAATCAAAGCGAGAAAGGAGATTACAGAGCTCACGTTTGTTTTGCAAAGCAAGAGTGCAAGGATCATCAATCCTACTGACTCTGGAAGTGACTTGATAGTGCATCACTCCCCTTTAGAGTGTTGAACATTAACCTGATCTGTCAACAGTGTTGTTTAAATAGGAAGGTTTGGGCTCTCTTCCTGAATTAGAAGGTAGTTGCTCCTCCATCCACATAACTACCATTCAATTGAACAAGTGCTACCTTAAACCGAAACCATACTCAACTGCCTTCGAGTCAGATCTGACCTCCTTGGGTTTCTGAGGCAGTATCACTACGGAAGTAGATTGCCCAATCTTCCTTCCAAGGAATGGCCAGTGGGTTTGAACTGCCAGCCTTCTGGTTCAGTCAAATGCCTTAGGCACTAGGCCACCAGAGCTCCTACCATAACCATACTACTACTATAATGGGTTCCCTGCCCTGATTTATTATTCAAAGCAGAATGCTTGTACAAATAAAGTTATTACATGAAAACTTTTTTTGTTGCAAGAATCTCTTAACATTTGCATTTCAACAGTACACTGTAGTGATGCCTATGTTTAGTGTTAAGTCCTTCCCTTAAAAACTAACGTGCTTGGAAAATGGGGTTAAGCGCTGTGCTTTTCTTCCTCTCAGGCTGCTGCCTTCTACACAAACCTCCTTTCCGCCAACACTGGTGGAAGAGGCTCACTGCCTCCTACTTCTTCTGAATGTCTACATTCCCCAGACCCAGCCATCTATTTAAAACACTATGCTAAGTGGGTTCTGTAATAAAGCACTTTCAGTACATAGATGCCTTCATTCCAAACTGACGATTTAGACAACTCCCCAGTTTCCTTTCTCTCTCCCCATTTCCAGCTCTTCGATACATTTCAGGAATTGCAATCTATGATAGAGCCCCTTGGGGTGAAAGGGCAGCTTTACACAACCCAAGACAGATGCATGAACATATCCTAAGGGTGAAGTGAAATGAGGAAAGAACGCCCGGTAATGAAAAGAGCTGTCGATGGGGTGCCTCGGTAGGCCCTACTAAATGAGGAGCCAGATATTTGCATCAAGGAAAAAAAATCTAGCTGTACCCCTAGGCTGTGCTTTATCCACAGTGTTTTATGCGCAATGAACAATTTAGCAGCACTAGAAATACCGCCATAATTCTCATTAGAGGTCCCATTAAAAAAAAAAAAAAAAAAAAAAAACTTTTTCTATTTTGTCAGGAAGGAAGACGGATGCAAACTGAAGGTTTCACTCCTAGAGATCTCTATGGAGCTCACCCAAGCCATAAACCAGGCAAACGCGGAGGGGAGTAAAGTTTCCCAGGCGGGCGGGACAGGTCTGCACGCGGAGCGCTGCCGCGGAAGAGCTTGGGATCCGCGACATTTCGGTGGCTGCTCTGGCGACTGCACCCGCGTGCGCGCCGCGCCGCGCGCCCACCTGGGGACTGCACAAATCTGAATGCGAGATAGGATGAGCATGGGGTGTGGGTATCTGTTTCATAATCTCCCGGAATCCGCGGGGAAAAAAAAATGTCTTCCATGCAAAGACATGCCTTCCCTTGATAACTTGAACTCCCCGACAAGACTCTATCCTTTCATTTTACAGGAACGACGGTTCCCAACTGACAGCTCCAAACTTAACGGCTGCGGCTGCAAACTTGACACCAACTCCCCCTCATCACTCCCACTCTTCCTCTCCCTGGCTCACCCCCGCAGAGCGTGGAGAACTCACACGCCACGCCCGCCTCCCCCGCACCCCTTTGGCTAGTCAGGTGAACACAGCCTCGCACGCCTCGCATGCCGGTCTCGAGTTGCGCCGACCTCCCCAGGGCTCCGGGCGAGATTTTCTTGGCGAGCCGGAGAGCTCACGGTCGCACCCCACTCACTTGTGTCTTCTTCATAAGGAAAGGCAGCGCGGCGATCCAGCCCAGGCAGCAGTGTGGCGACTCCGTTTAGCTGTTCTGGAGCTCCAGCATATTGCACCGGCAGCGGCGGCAGATAGTCCACGCATTGGGTAGCCCGAGCGCAGTGCCTTCTCTACCTCAGTGCCTCCCGCAGCGCTCCCAGTCCCAGCGCGAGGCGGCAAGTGAAGCCCGGCCAGTGCGCCGCCAGCGCTTTTATACAAATCCCTCCCGCTTGCTCCGGACACGCCTCCTTCCCTTCCGGAGCCCTAGGGAGGCAATACTGGAGCGGGGACGCGGGGGGAGACCGGGGAGCACGGCAAGAGCACAGTGAATGCGCAAGAAGTTGGACAGATTAAGCGAAGCGCTTCCCCTCGGCAAGGGCCCCAGGGAGCGCAACGGCTAGAAGGCATGAGGGCGCCAGGGCGCCCAAGGCGAAGCTTAGCAACCTGCAGCCGCTGCTTTCACTGCGCGCCGAGCGCGGTTAGTCCCAGCTCGGCCTCCCGGCTCCGCCGGGGTTGTCCTGGCACCGCCCGAAACTGGCGAAATAGCTCGTGCGCCGGTAAGAGCCGGGAGTTCCCGCTTTTATGCAGACACAGTGCGGGAGAGGGACTCACTTGGGGCAAAGAATTCACCAGCCCCGCCTGAGGGAGTGGGGGGTAGTTTAATTAGAATCTATAGTTAGGTCATTGTCTAACCCTTTGTATTTATTTATTTATTTATTTATTTATTTATTTTAAACAATCACATCAGTGAATGTATATTTAGCAATTAAAATGAATTGTTTACTCAAAGTTCAGTATTGCTAAATCCACTGCCATCCAGTCGGTTCCGACTCACAGCGACCCTATAGCACAGAGTAGCACTGTCCTACAGGGATTCCAAGACTGTAAATCTTTAAGAAAGACTGCCTCATCTTTCTCCCACAGAGCCCTGGTGGGTTCCAACCGCTGACGCTTTGATTAGCAGCCGGATGCCTTAACCACTATGCCAGGAGAGCTTCTTAAGTATTGTTAAGGGCGATACTACTTTCAGAAGAGTTCTCTGCAGTGTCTTTACAAATTAAGAATGAAAGAGAGGCAATAGATTATTAAACGTGCAGATCACCAACAGAGCAAGGTATTTCAAAAACAATACTTTCTTTAGAGAAGTTTTTAAAATCAGAAAGAAAGCGACAATAATAATAATACCTAATACCAGTATGTGGTGTCTTTAATTATGTGCCAAGCTCCATGCTAAGAACTTGATGTGGATTATCTCATAAATTTGTTCCACGAATGGATACAATCAATAATTTTAATTCCCATTTTACAGATGTTTAAGACCTATTGCCATCAAATTGGTTCTGACTCATAGAGACCCTGTAGGGCAGAGTAGGACTGTCTTACTTCTAAAGCTGTAATCTTTAGGGAAATTAACTCCAGTGCCTAAATCATTTGACTGTTAACCAGACGGTTGGCAGTTCTAAACCCACCAGCCTCTACATGGAAGAAAGATGGAGCAATCTACTTCTGAAAAGATTTACAGCCTTGGAAACCCAATGGGGGTCACTATGAGTCGAAATCCACTTGATGGCAATGAGTTTGGTTTTGGGTTTGAAACTTTACAGGGGTAGATTGCCACATCCTTCTCCAGCAGAGATGCTGCTGGGGTTCAAACCACCGACTTGCTTAGCAGCCTTGTGCTTAACCATTGTGCAACCAGGACTCCTTCTAGATGCTTAGGTCAGTTTTCAGAGATAACCTAGTTACATGGCTGTTTTGGTTATCTAGTGCCATTTTAACAGAAATACCACAAATACATGGCTTCAATAAACAGAGATTTATTCTCTTACAGTTTAAGAGGCTAGAAGTCCAAGTTCAAAGTGCCAGCACTAGGGGCTAGGTGAAAGTCCCTCCACGTTGGGCTTCAGCTCTGCCTCTTGCTCCCAGTCCACTCAAGCAGAAGGCTGCTGAGTCTGACAAACTCAAAGTCAGTAAGTAAAATGGCAAAGTCCCAAGATTATCAGGCAACACGGCAGGCCACTGAGATGAAGACTTGGCCAAATGCAGGGTCCGAGGGTGCCAAAAAGCTCTGAGACCTTTCTCAAAGCTGTGTTCTTGTATACTGGCACCATACCACATCCCTAAGGCAACTACTCAGCTGCTGCAGTAGATTCCAACATGAAGTTGATTGCCAGTTTCATCATGGGCTGCTACCCTCTCAAACCAGGCCCAGACAAGTTGACATACAACTTAACTACCACATCATCTACAACTTTAATTCCCTTTTGTCATGTAACTGTCACGTAATGTAATACGATCACACCTTCCAGAGATTAGGACATGCCTGTCTTTTGTAGGGAACTCAGGTGTCGTAGTGGCTTGACCCCTGTTCATTCTATAATGTATATGGATATTGTTGTAGCATAAATACACAGGTAGGAATATCATTGGCCAAATCTATCTATGGTCATGGGTATATTCCTGTTTGCTTACCCACACCTGATCTCATCTATCTATGCATCTACCCGTAGACTAGTGTTTGTTGTTACTGGTAATGCAGAATTATGTATATAATAATATTTGCCTCTGTTGTCTATATCTTTTGTGCATTTTTCTGTGTTCTCCTTTTCCCTATTTTTATTGTTCTGGTCACACACTTTTGTTATATTGCCTTTCCTTTCACCCAAATCAACACACACCTCTTAATAGTGAGAAATTTTCCTTCCCCTTCCCTTCTATCCCTGACAACCAACAAAGTAAATTTCCTTCCTTTCATAAACCTTTCCTTGACTTTTTACAATAATGGACTCTTACAAAATTTGTCCTTTTGTGATTGACTTATTTCACTCAGCATAATGTCCTCCAAGTTCATCCACATTATGAGATGATTCGTGGATTCTTCATTATTCTTTAATGTTGCATAGTATTCTATTGTATGTCTGTACCATAGTTTGGTTATCCACTCATCTATTGATGGGCACTTAGGTTGTTTTCATCTCTTTGCTATAGTGAATAGGGCTGCAATAAACGTGGGTATGCATATGTCTATTCGTGTCCTGGATCTCACCTCTTTAGGGTATATTCCTAGTAGTGGAATTGATGGATCAAATGGTATTTCTATTTCCAATTTTTAAAGGAAATGACATATGTTTTCCACAGCAGCTATACCATTTTACAGTCTTAGCAGCAGATGAACATTTTTGTTTATCAGCTGAGTAAATATTAAATTTTATTGTTTTAGTTTTCTACAGATGCTATCAGAAAATGTCAAAAATTGTGTAGCTTATAGGAAGAGAAAGGTACTGTCTTGCTGTTCTGGAGGCTAGGAATCTGAATTCAGGATATAGGCAGGGCTGCGGTCTCCCTGCCGCTCTAGAGGAAGACCCTTCTTTGTCTCTCCAGCTTCTGTAGTGCCAGGGGTTCCATGGTGTTCCTTCAATTGTAGATTCATCTTCAGATGGCTGTGTGTCTCTGTGTGTCTTCTCTTGTAGAAGAAGACCATTCTGAGGGGATTAGGACACTCTACTCCAGTATGACGTCATGTTAACTGACAACATGTGTAAAGATCCTATTTTCAAACAAAGCCGTGTTCATAGGTACCAGGAATTAGGACTTCGACATATCTTTCAAGGGGACATGATTAAACACGTAACAGGTATATGTTAAAATGTGTGTGCATGTGTGTGAGTTCGTGTTTATGTACACCCACACACATAAATATGTCCCATCAAACAGATGATTTCATGTTGATTGTTGCTTAGAAAAAAATTTTAAAGAATCAATTTAAGTCCATTTAGAGGATAAAATTAAGTCAATAATAAATAGTACTAAAGAGAGATGAATATAACAAAATTATGTGAATTACTGAAGTTTTCAAAATAGCAATCTAATAATATTAATTTGTATGAGATCACTATGAAGGAATGGCAAAATTAGTTGGACCACATTTAAAGAAACCACTCAGTGGACTTGTCACAAACTCAGTTCAATTTTTTTTTCATTCAACGATACATGCTACATTAGTCTCCTACCACGTACTCTTATTCTCTTCTGCTATTGCCTCCCTCCTTCCATTCTCTTCCCTCTCAGACTGTCTCCTCCTCCCACCTCCACAATGCCATGGCTCTAACTACATTCATGTAATCACTGACTTTCTCACCCATAACTCTAGATCTTTTGTTTCCCTAATGATGTTGCACTACAATTGTGTATATGTACATATATCCATGTTAGTTGAAATTAAATGAAAGAAATATAAAAGCAGAAATGAGTTGCTAGTATGCAAATTAAAAATTGTAAGCAAGCTTATCAGGAGTTCAAAGCAGAATAAGTAATGCCTCAAAGACAGAGATCTCTCTTTAAGTAGGTGTTTGAGAGGATATCTAAAGCCAGCACACAGTCCCATAGTGGAAGAAAACCAAGGAGCTACCTGAAATTGAATGAAAGGCAGGACTATGTCCCCGTAGGATGGGAGATATGGAAAAATTTTCTTGATGGGAATAGTGGGCTCCCATTATAGGGTTCAGGGATTTCAACATTTAATTTTGGGAAGAAAGTCCTTCCGTGTTTATCTAGTCTTTACTAACATACTTCAAATGCTAGCTGTTTGTATGGTTTTTGATTGGCCTAATTGTTGGAAGAATATTAAACATACCATGGACTGCATTAAGAATGAACAAATCTGTCTTGGAAGAAGTACAACTAGAATCATCCTTAGAAGTGAGAAGGGCAAGACTTCTTCCTATGTACTTTGGACATGTTGTCAGGAGTCATGTCCCTGGAGATGGACATCATGATTGACTGACCCAGTAGACCCAGTAGAGAGTCAGCAAAAAAGAGGAAGACCCTCAAGAAGATAGATAGACACAGTGGCTACAACAATAGGCTCAAACATAGTGATGATCTTGAGGATGGTGCAGGACTGGGCGGCATTTTGTTCTCTTATGCGTAGAGTCACTGTGAGTTGGGACTAACTCAATGACACTTAACAGCAACAATTGTTGGAAGGAGTCCCTGGGTAGCACAAATGGTTAGGTGCTCAGCTGCCAACCAAAAGGTTGGCAGTTTAAGTCCTTTCAGAAGCTCCTGAGAAGAAAGGCCTGCCAATCTACTTCTGAAAATCAGCCAATGGAAATTGTGGACTGCAAACGTCTGACCTTGTTGTACATGGGGCCACTGATTCAATGGCAGCTGACAAT